ATGCGATCAAGTGTTTCCCAGGGTATCTTGGTGTGAGCAGACATCGCTCTCTCTCTCTCTCTCTCTCTCTCTCTCTCTCTGCGCATTTGTAGTTGGGCAGGCACACTACCTGAGCAAGCAGCACTGCTCAGCGATGGCGCTTGGACTCATTCTCTAGCCCGAGCAACCTGGCATGGCTATTTATATGGGGAGGTGAGGTTGATGTCTGCGTGACAAAAGTTCCGTTCACTTCATGTCTTTTTCTACGTCAATTTGATTCTAGTTCTCCCTTTCTATCTGTGCTTTTGCATCTGTCCTTGTCACTGTGTCTATTCTTTTCTATCTTCGATTTCTTTATCATCACCTCTCTATTATTTTGTGTTTTCTCTTGACCTCTTGATCTTTTTCTTTGTCTAATTCTCTCTGATCTGTCCCTCTGCAAATCACTTAGCTCACTTGCTCTACCTTTCTGGTTCTACGCTTCTCTGTCTGTCTCTTACTCTCTCACTCTCTCTCTCTCTCTATATATATATTGATCTTTTTTACTCTCTCTCTCCTCCAACATATTTATTTTTGTTACTCTATCTCTTTTCCACATATTCCTACTTGTTCGGTTTCCCTATCTATCTCTCTCTCTATTTCTCCCATTTTCGCATTCTGTTCTCTCTCTCTTTCTCTCTCTATCTCTCTCTCCCATTTTTACTTTCTATTCTCTCTCTCTCTCTCTACCTCTCTCTCCCATTTTTACTTTCTATTCTCTCTCTCTCTCTCTTTCTCTCAGTATATTTCGTTCTTTTACTCGATATCTCCAAATCTCTCGCTCTCCCCTTCTTTATCTCTCTCAAATTCTGTCTTCCAATCGCTCAGTCTTTCTATCTCTCTCTCTCTCTCTCTCTCCCTCTCTCTCTCTCTCTCTATCCACTCTATGTGCCTCTGCTTTACTAGGTAATTCCAATTGGAGGCCTGCTTTATGTCCTGCGCTAGGTGCAAGCGACAGTTGACAGTTTGCACTGCGGCGCGTTCGTGTTGAATAAACAATATTTTCTGTGCGCCGCTGATGAATGTTGACGGTGCACGGCTGTGTAATTATTCAGAGGCACATTGGATTGCATAATTTTGGGCGCCATGCGTAGGTGCCTAGGTGTGCCTTGTGTCTACACACGACCAACATCCATGTGTGTGTGTGTGTGTGTGTGTGTGTAGATTGAAGTGATAAAGATTTGGCAAATAGACCAGCTGTGTGTATGTGTGTATGTGTGTTTGTGTGTCGCAAACATCATCTACACGAATAATTAAACCCGAAAAATGAAACTTGATTAATTTAATATTTACCAAGAGCTGCTCTCTCTCTCTTTCTCACTCGCTCTTTCTCTTTCACTATGTGTCTCATGTGCTAGTGTCGTCTCTTTCTAAGCAAGGAAACGTGCTTCAACACTCGCCAAACCTTGTCTGTGTGTGTGTGTGTGTTTGTGTGTGTGTATGAATTTCAATGTTTGTTTAGCTAATAAATTTTCGGGCTAAAGTAATCAAATAATTGCCAAATGTACGAAAAACACAAGAGCATAAGAATATGGCTTGTTTTATTGCCATTTTATTTCGCAAAATTTACGAGCGACCAAGAGTTTCGGTAGCCTTTTATATGGTACCAATGAAAGCAGCAACAACAGCAACAACAACAGCAACAGCAATGCCAATAACAATAATAACAATAGCAACAACAACAACAACAGCAATAACAGGCAACTTGGAACTCGGAAGTTAAAGCATAATAAAGTACTACTAGTTGGAGTTGGGCAAGAGGAAGCAGAGGAGCATCATAAGCCAAACTCAAGCCCCGAGTCATGTAACCGTATATTGATGACGATGTTCCACTAATGATGCCGCTTGACTTGACAAATCGCGACTGGGACAGAAATAGAGAAATGAGCTCGAACGGCTGAACAATTAACTTTGGAATTTGCCCCCCAAAGTTGTTGCGTATCAGCTTCGAAGGAGAAAGCAGAAGGCTTAAAAATTACTTGAAATGAGTTAAAGTAAATTCAAGTGTGGAGGTAACTTAAAGATATATATAGAGAGAGAGATAGAAAGAGAGAGATGGAGAGAGATGGAGAGAGAGAGACAGAGAAAGGCAGAGAGAGAGGGAGATTTTAATATGACATATGAGCTAATTACTTTATACAATAGTAGACATTCATATAAAGAATAACTTTTAGTTGAGCAGATGTGCTATAACGACATAGATGTTACCTAGAGTGTAACTCGGAATTTGAAAAATCATATAAAATATATACATATATATAATACATTCGCGCTGCCTGATATACGCTTTATACCTTATATAGATTTTATATTTGTTATACCTTATAAACATAATATATACACATAGATTGTGTGTATACCATCCTTACCTTATATACCCTTTAACTTGTAGACTTGATATACTTATATACCTTCTATACCTCATTAGCCTAGGGTATGCCTAGGGTATTTCTACAGCCTCAGCTTGCAGTTGAATAAAGTCAATTCCCATTGGTCGAATTATTGAGCTATAAAGTGCTCAATTGCTGTTAGGGGTCACTCCGCCCCTCAGTCCACGCCTCCGATCGTTTTATAGTTTATCCCTTTTATGGCCGAGTCATAATGACAATGGCCATCAAAATTAAGCCTCAGGTACGCGACAGCACTTACTTCTCGGTCTCTTAGCTGGACATCCTTTCGGTCCACAATTGCTTCGCTCTCAGTGTGTTGTATAGAAGCCTATCTATAGCTCTCTATATCTGAGGTCTACTGATAGCCTAGGGCTGCTAACTTATGGGAAAAATATATATATAGATGAATATATGGTAGGGTCTACTTAGATCTTGTTCAGTAACAAATGGCAAAACAAAGTATATAAAATATAATTTTACATAAAAAGGACATACATACATAATGACATATATATTTGCCCTTCATATATACTCACATAGTATCTGTATAAAATATTTTTTCTTTTGGTTTTTTTATTAAACACCTCAAACTAAAAATTAAAAAAAAAAAAAAACAACAACAATCGCAGTCACAAAAAAAAAAAAAAAAAAAAAAAAAAAAAAAACGAAGTCAAAAAAAAAAAAAAAAACAAAAAAAAAAAAAAGAGGAAACAAAAAAATCAAGATGTTATATTATATATATATTGATATAGATTTTGTTAAAGTTTACACAAGAGAAATTGATTACACCGAACTATGGGCATGTGGGCGTATCTTTGGGCATGGCTCTGGTAGGGGGCGTAACATAAATAAAAGTCTATTTAAGCGTATCGCCGTTGAAATTGTGTCATGAACTCCAGCAAAAAGAAGACGCGACACAACACAATCTTATGCTTTTACATATGTACACACACACACACGCACTTGTGTATGTATATCTGTATATGTATTTGTATATACAGATAACAAAGAAAGTGAGTCTGTCGCTCGGTCGCTCGGTCGCTGGGTCGCTGAGTCAAAGGAGCGTGTCGTATCTACAATCAGTTTCAGTCTACCAAGCGCTGCCATATAAAATTGTTTTGAGCAAAAATTACAAATTCCACAACTAACGTGACAGCGCCCCAAAACACCGTACCCTCGCCACCCCTGCCCTGCCCCTGCCCTGTTTGGGCTTGGCTGGTCCAGTGGCGTTTATCGAAATACCGCTCCCGCATATTGTGCTTATACAGTGACCCCTTAGCCACGTCTCTGTCTCTGTCCCTCTGTCCTGCTGTCCGAAATGTGTACGAAATACCGCTTCTGTCCACGTTGGCCATCTTCATATATATATGTACACATATACATATATATACAGTGGAATATAGCATAGTATATGCAGCATATTCCACCTCCTGCTCGGCTCGCTTTGTGTTCTGTTTTGTGGGCGTGACCACAAATGTTTTGAGCCTCACTCAAATGCAGCTCAGAGGCAAGTGGCTCAGCATGCCAGTGTATGTGTGTGTGTGTGTGTGTGTGATTACGTAGCACATGGCCAGCGGCGGGAACAACAACAATGCAAGAAACTTAATGCCAACAGCAAAAATAATGAAAGTATTTGCTTTGCTAAGCACAAAAATATGTCAAAGTAAATTTCACTTCATTTTTTTTTTCTTCTTCCTTCCCTTCTCAATGGGCATCCTTTCACTGTGTGTGTGTGTGTGTGTGTGGGTGTGTGGGTGGGTGCAAGCGTGTTGGCACGTAGCATGTAGCGGACTTTGCCTCGCAACGAACTTAAGATGTGCCTTAAAGTTTTCAGTTTTCCCGCTAAAGCTGCGGCTGAGTGAGGGAATGGACGAAAGGAGAACTCGATTTTCTGGCAATATATCATAACTATTCACATCAATTTGATTTACATTCGAGAATTTAATGTTAGGGCAGGCCTTAAAGCAGCTCTAGCTCTGCGACTCCCATTCCATTTGCAATTCTCCTGCTCAGGTTTCCGCTCACTAAACATAATATGCATAGTAATAATAATAATAATAATCAAATGCATTTCATAGGCTTTCAACTTTGACCTTAAAACTGTCAGAGCGCAGAGAGCTAGCCCCATGGAAACTAGGGAATTATGATATATTACGATAATCGAGTATTACTCCATCGAAATCTGTTCGTCTCCCGTTGTGTGTGTGGCTAGCCCTTCCCTTCTTCTTCTTCGACTTTTTCCTGTCCTTCATCATCATCATCATCATCATCATCATCTTTGGTAATGGTTCGATGGGTAAACATGGGAATCCATCAATCAAAGCAGAGCAAAAGTGACCAACCAAACGGCAGGGAGCTGCTCTGGGGCCCAGTTGGGTGTAAGCCGAACCCTAAAACCGAAACTGAAAACAAACATGGCAAGAAGAAGAGCAAGAAATCTAAATCAATATAAACAACTTATGTTTAGGGGAAACTTTGATTTATTTTTGTTGTTGTCGCTGCGGTCCCCCATATCTTTAGCATAACGAATGCGAAATCTATTTGCATGATTAGTTGAAGCTCTTAAATTCAATATTAAAATGAAGTTTTCGTTTTTTTGTTTCCTCTTCTATTTGCAGTGCGAATCAACGAGGCTGTTATCGATAACGATTAGTGCGATAGACGCGCGAGTCGAGTGTGCGCGGGCAAAGTGAGCGCGAAGCGAGTGAATTTTTTGTTTGTTTTTTGTTTGGTTCATTGCTGAGGCACGCACACAACTGCAGACAGTCGGGGCGCACAGACACACGCGCGCCGTGTGTGGGTGTGTGTGCGTGTCGGATGTGTAGGCTGAACGCAGCAGCACGGCCAAACATGGATTGGACTCGGTGGCAAGACGCTAAAGCCAGAGACAGTGCTGGCAGCAGCAACATCAGCAGCAGCAGCAGCACCAACAACAACAACATCGGCGGCAACATCAACAGCAGCAGCAACGATTGCGAGCATCAGCACAGCCAGTGGCTACCCATTTGATTCGTCCAGCTTCATAGTAGGTTCAATCAGTCATACAACTAGTGCAAAACCTGTCAGCCAAACAACCAACCAACCAACCAGTCAGTCAGTCAATCAGTCAGTCAGTCAGTCAGTCAATCAGTCAGTCAGTCGATCAGTCGATTAATCGATCAGCTATTCAATATATATACATATATATATATATATTTATCAATCAGTGCACACGTCACCCACTCAATCAGTTAGTCAGACGAAGCAATCGCTAGTTACTGCGATCGATTGCCTCCCAAACCATCTTGAGCAACGCTTAGAACGAGTCATACAACAACAACAACAACAGCAACTACAACAAAACTGTAAATAAATCGAAAAGTCATTACAACCAATAGATATATAACATCTATCTATCTATCTATCTATACACATATATATATATATACATACATATATATATACACATATAGATATATGTATATGTATATGTCTATGTGTATGTATATGTATATGTATATACATATATATATATATATGAAGTGCAGTGCTAAATGAACTTATCCGAGTGCCGGGCCAGAGAAAAACAAAACAATATTGGAGTGGATAGAGGAGACGGGCACGGAGAGGGCGGCGTTAGCTGCGGTTTTGTTGCCCCAGTGGAAGAGCCAATAGCTTGCAACACTGCCACAGCCAACAAGCAACAAGCAACAGTAACAGCAGCACCAACAATAACAACAACAGTAACAACAACAACAACAATTCTATAAGAACAAGAACCGCCTCAACACTGCCAATGCCCTCATTGCCATCATAATTAATCAACAACGTCATCATCGTTTGTTTAGATTTGACACAAGTGAGTTTAGAACAACTATCCAACATGCATGCTCATACAATTTACTAATTATAAGCACACAATATATGAAACATTATCAATTACAATATGCACAAATCTATCTATCTCTCTCTCTCTCTCTCTCTTTGTCTCTCGAATGAACTGAAGTTTGCATCTTTGAGCCGATTCGATTCTTGTAAAATATGCATCAATTCGCCCAACATACTAGACTAGCGAGTCTAGCTGACCAATAGTTATCGATATCCACACTTATCGATTACTTGACATTCTAGAAACTCTCAATGTGTCACACATACAACTTAGGTCTTGAGAAGAAATCAACATCGAGATTTCATAAACGTCTGTAAAATATAAATTACAATTTCAGCTCATCTTTATCTTAGATAATTCTTATAGCCAATTCTGATTGTAAACAACATATGTATATATGTATAGTTTGTCATTAATGTACGTTACATGGAATCTGTTCATTTTTACGAGTTCCGCATTGAGCTTAGGTCTGAATTTGTAGCAAGAAGCAAAGGAAGTTAACTATTGCCCTGCTTAACTTGATATTGAAGTTATTTCTTGAAGATCATCAGGCCTTGCCCGCTAGGTGGCGTTGTATGCTGTCTCATGTAGCTCAAATAATATAATTATCTTAATATATTTTAGCGGGTATTTGAGAAATTGTCCGAATTTATTCCGTCTAAACTATTTCTGTAACTTAAGTTTGAATATTTAGCTTGAAAGTGATTTCACTGTCGCTTTAACAAATTTCTAATCATTTTTGGTTAAAAGAATTTATCTTGTGGCTTATGTCCGAATTGTCGACTGTTAGAAAAAAGAATATAAATAAAGTTGAATTAATTTTTGATGAAAGGAATTTTGTTTGAAATTTTCATTTCAATTTTAGACTAAAAAAAAAAAAAAATAAAAGAAAATAACAAGAAATATACATCAATTTAATAAAAATAAATTTAAAAAAAAGGAGAGTTCATATTAATCCGTAAATAATTTTTTTTTTAATTATATGAAGGCAGATTATTTTTTTTTAATCAGTAGCTGATCAAAGGGGGCACGTATGTATTAATTCATTAGATGAAGTCTAATATTAAATTGGATAAAATTAAATAAATTATTTAAAAAACTGTTAGACAATTGATTCTCAAATTGAATCAAGTCCAGCTCAATTTATTGAAAAATTTTTATATTTTTTATTGAAAAATATATTTAAAATGAGAAAGAAAAAGAGTTCAAAAAAGTCCAATCTGAAGCTGATCAAAGTGAAGATTTATTTAATGATTAAATGATATATTTTATATAGTTATTCAGCCAGTTGGTGTTTTGCTATATTATAGGGTTTACCCATAATTTACGATATCTCTCTCATTCTCTCTCTCCTCTCTCTGCTCTGCTCAGCTCAGTCTACATTTATATCATAGTTTGTAAATGTATATATGTATATATTAATATTTAGTGGGTTTATAGTCCATTCAGATGCAGCTCAGCGTATGTGGTGGTAAATATATGTATATGCCTCTACATGCACACGCACACACATAAATACACACACACACACACACTTGCATTGAGTTTTGAGCTCAATTCATTACGTAATCTTGTAGACGAACAAGCAGTGCTCAATTGAGAGGATAGCTGCATACTCTGCCACCGACCACGCCCCCTCCACATCGGCGGCGTCGTCTGGGCACTCGAAGCACTCGTTGTGCCGCATTCATTGCAGTGTATTGATTGCACTTAGAGAGCATTTTGTACATTTTTGTAAATAGCGTCCGTAGCTCGACACCAATGTTATCCCCCCTCCACCTCCACCTCCGTTCCTTGCCCCTTTGCCCTAGGCACTGTTTGTCCAGTTGCTCCCGAGCGCAATCGGACAAAGCGAATCTCATGCAAATCATATGCAAAGCAGGAGCCACGAGACGAGACGTCGGGGTCGCCGCGGCCATTTGTCGGGCGATAAGTAATTTGTACAAACATTTGCGCAAACAAAACGCAGGCGGTCACTAGTCACCAGCCACGAATTGCTCGTGAAGGTGTGTAGTGGGAGTTGCAGTCACAGCTGAAGTTGGAGTTGGAGCTGGAGCTGGAGTCGGCGGTCGCGTGACCGACAAGTTTTACACACTTGGCAACGTAATTGCTTATAAAACGTCGCCGTGCCGCAAAAGAGTGCCGATAACAGACCCAAACCGTTTATAACAATTATACGAGCCAAGCAGCCATTTGGGACCTGGCCGGACTGAGCCGGGCTGGGCTGGGCTGGGCTGGGCAGGGGTTGACTGCGTGCACGCTTTGCCAGCACTTGACCAATTAGGCGACGGGCGTGAGTGTGAAAAGGGCTGTCGAGCTGGTGGGCTGGCGATTCGGCTGCCCCGGCTCCAGCAGCTCAAGCAGCTCTCCCGGCTCCCCGCGGCGGGGAGTGGGAGCGGGCATTGGCTAAATGTATAAGCCCGATACGTTAACGAGGCGCGGCAGTCTGAGATCCCTGCGCAGCGCACCGCTGCTCAGTACGGTGCTGGAGAGCACGCTCTCGCTGACCCGCATCCATCCGATTGCTTCGCTGGAGCTACCCGGCCTCGACTATGCCGTACAATCGCAGTCAGCCATTGGCGCCTTCCATCATCGTGAGCTAGGCACCTCCCTGCGCAGCGGTATCGCGGCTATCACAGCGGCCAGCGCCAGTGCCGCCGGTGGCATCTCTCAATCCCAGAGCGCACTGCTCGGACGATACGGTCCGAACGCCTCCATACGCAACAACGAACGAAAGATTGTTCAGCCGAAACGGTACGTCAAACTCTACCCAACCACCACCACCTCTCGCCCTACCAGCATCGCTATCTCTCTTTCAGATCTATAAATCATTCCCTCTCCCTCTCCCTCTCTCTCTCGCTCACTCTCTCCGCCCTCCAAAAGCAACGGCTTCCACATAGTCTGTTCAGCATGTGTGTGTAAGTAAAGAGAAGTGTTGCCAAGCTGTAGCATGCATGACGGTGTCTTGTATATCTACACATAAACTGATATTATAATAAATATTTAGTAATACGAATATATCTGAAATATATCTGAAATGTGAATATATAAATGAGAATATTTTATGCAATTGCAGCAAAGGTCTGGCTCTCGATTAATAATCATATCACTTCATTTTAGTTTATAAGAAAAATGATCGATTTTCATCGAAATTAATCGATCAAGGAACATATCGATGTTTCATCTTTAAATATATATGAACTTTAATTTTAAATGCTAATAAGAAGCTATCAAACATGCTGTAATTTAGTCGTTAAATATTGAGTGATTAACTATAGTTAAACAAGTACAGTTTGAGCCGATTTCACACGCCCCCAATGGACGTAGATTTAACAATCATAACTCCTTCAGCTTGTGTTCCCAATGGGAATATACACTAAAAATTTCAAATCCGTAGCAATTTAACAAACCTGTTCTCGTTTATAGATATGAAAATGGAATATTTCAATTTGAGGATCGCAAAAATCTTGTAACCCTATAATTCCAGGATATACAGGAGTAAATAATCTTAATTTCAAGTCTGTAGTCTTTCCGATAATTCATTCGGTCAGACGAACGCGCAAGGCGGACGTTGTAGAAAACCAATATACTCATTTCCGGTTTGGGAATGAGTATAAAAACGAGTTTCGATAAATTCTTTGCTCTGATTCGGTTTCTGGTAAAAATATACGCTAGCATATATATAAAAGAATACATTTTTTTTTCATATATTTTTATATTTTTTTATATTTATATATTTTTATATACATATATTCATTTTGTTCTCCATAAAAAAGATTTGTTTTGACACTTTTAAGGGGTTTGTTTATGATGCCATAAAGTCGCATTAGCCTTGTCGAGTGGCTTGGGCCGTTTTGTATTACAGAGGCAAACGCCTTGTGGCTAGGAGCCTTTTGGGAGGCAGCCCACACGGCGACCAGCCCATGGCAGGCCCTGGCCCAACCAACCGCAGACCGCTGCAGGGCAGGCTGCATTAAGCGCGGGCGTATGTCTTACGAGATGCTCGCTCTGGCGAGGCCGCGGGTCAAATGTGTGGGAAATAGGTGGTCAGGCCTGAGCTGAGCCACCATTTGTGCTGCTCGCTTAACTCCAATTGGGCTCTTGACTGGCCGCATTATGAGCAGCCCATAGCTCGCAGCTAATAGCCGCCAGCTGAGCGACGCTGCTGATGGCGCAGCTCTGAAGGCAGCTAGAAAATGGGGAGGCCCCCATGGATAAAGTCTACACAGATCCGCAAACAGATTCTGTGAATGGAGCAGGGATTGTAACTAGTTCAATTCGATCTACCGATCTAGGTAGAAATAAGTCAGCTACAAAGTCGTAGCACATGGGAGATTGTTTGCTTAGCAAGAGCATGGAAGAGTGGGATGAGTATTACTAGAGAGGTAAAATGAAACTACTCCACATTTGCCGAATTCGAGAATTGCACTGAACTTTTCTAATATAAGAATCTTAAAATCGTTTTTGGGCTCACTTTAGTATTGCCTATTTAAGTATTTGGCAGCTTCAGGCTAGAGCAGGGTCATGCTTCATGCTAGTCTTCAGGAAAACCTTTTCCATTTTCTTTTTATTTGTTGGAGTAGAGGCGTCGGGCGTTGCAATGCGGGATGGTAGCTCTGCAGCTCGGATAAATTGTATTATAAGTGTCAATACCAGGAGAGGCAATGAACAAGAGGGTGTCAAGCACAGAAAACCAGTAAGAGAACTGGTGTTGGAGTTATGTTATTAACAGAATGCTGTTAATAGCATAACATGAAATGCTGCAGGAGGAACAATTCTTGTTTATGGGAACTGGCATTAACATTATTTAAAATATTTTACTAAGCAAATGTTATGCTGGAAACTTAATTAAGCATTTAAATTCTGTTTTTTTTTTTTTTTTAGATTTTTATTTTGCAATTGTTATGATAAAATTAACAAATTATAACTATTGCATTATTAAATTTATTAATTTATTTTTAATAAAATATTATAACAAAATATTTCTGCTGCTTTGGAAGGAGCTTAATCTGAATTAAAATTAACCAATTGAAATTGTCTCGTATATATAAGACTACAGAGAATTTCACAAGAGAATAAATACGTGAGGAAATAAAACAGATTTGATAAGGATAAAGCCTATTGGACTATTTCGGTCAAGCCAGTATCAAGCACAGCATCAGGCGGAATGAGAATACATATTGGCTTCAGAAAAACAACTATTAAGTTGTCTCACTATAGCATATGGGATTGATAAAGAACGCAGTTATCAGTGACTTATTTTTAAGTTTCTCTTAATTTAATAATAATTCGAATCTCTACAAAATAAATAAATAAATTTGATAAGCTTTAAGTAATACTACAATCAAGTAAGCAGGTCTCTCGGGTGGATATTGATTACTATCCCCAGTCGGATGAAGGTCTTGGGTCTCTCGGCATCGAAACAATCCTCTCTATTTAAAGTGCGAGCAAATATATTTATATCGTAATATTGATGGAGCTTTCGGAACAGGGTAACAGTTGTAAGACTCGTTAATGTTAATGCGTCAAGTGGGGGGCTGGGGCAGAGCCAATTCTCAATTAAATTTATAATTCAATTTATTGGCGCCCTTTCGGTCTGAGCCGAGCGCCTTTTGTCTTTGCCTTTTACTGGGGCTTAGTGTTTATTTTTTTCTTATTTTTATTTGAGCTTTGTCGACTTTGATTTATTTAACAAGCAAAAGCCGCCAAAATATAAAAAGCCACAAGAGAAAAGTTTGTCGCCTCGTCGTCGTCTGTCGGCTGTCGCTTGGGGTTGATTTTTGGGGCTGCTTTTCGGGGCTGGGCTCTGTTTGGGTCACACTGAATAGTAGCGAGAGAGAGAGAGAGAGAGGGCGGGAGGCAGAGTCTTGTGGGCTGGGCTTTATCCTTTATTTTTGGCTTTGCATATGGCAATAATTCAATTATGCACAACAAGGCCGCAAAATAATTGGGCGCCGCAGTCTAGACCCTGATGGGGATGCTGTTGCCGAAACCGAAATCACTTAAAAAAGCCGCAAAAACTTCTGGCTTTGTTAATTCGTTAATTAAATTGGCCTGGCTGGCGCTCGATGGCAGCCTGTGAACAGAAATTCAACTTTAAGGATTACGCAATGGAGGCCACCCAGCCGCCCAACCACTGCCCCACCCACCCCATTGATGACATTGGCTGGCAGCAATCTTTGCTTATCAAAGGCAAACAAGAACGTCCACGACGACAACTCATTTAAGCCATGGCCCCACACACGCCCACCACACGCCTCCCACACGCCCACCCAGCGCCCCTTGCCGCCACCTGCCCCAAGCGCAGGCCCTTAATTAGCATAGAATATGTTTTAAAAAGCCACTTGAGCTAAACATTCAAAACACCTACACGGCTCTGCCACGCCCGCCCCGCCCCCTGACCGAGTGCTGCTGCGACCTTAGACGCTTGCGGCTAAGACACTGCGTGGAGACGGCGTGGCACAGTTATGCAAGTTTGGCAGCGCCCAGCTGGAGTATAAGCCTTTTCGCCAGCCGCTTGACAGAGCCGAAAGCCACGGACCCCGAGGGGGGAAAGGGGATATGATATTCATTCAAGAAGAGATCAGAAAAGAGAGCAGAATGTGAAGGAGGTGAATAAACAAGGCTAAAAGTAATTAAATATGATAGTAATAAAATAATAATTATAATTATATTAATAATATTAAAAATACTAAATAAAACGAAAATTAAATATAAATAAAATAATAATAATAAAAACCTGCAAATTCAGCTCGAAAACTCATTCAGACATCATAGAAAGAGCATTTGATAGTCAGCTTGAACAGTTTTAGCTTTTTTAAGCTTTCTTTTTAGCTTTATTTTTTTTGCTGGCAGCACATAGCGCAGTCGACGCTGCGTCGGCAGCACATGATGCTCAAGTGTTGGGATAAGTATTTCCGCTCTTCAGACGTAACGCTAAAAAATGTGCCCACACACACACACACATACTCATACACACACACACATACGCCCACTAAAGCTGCGGCGCAAGACTAGCTGGGTGGCTGGGTAGGCGGAGGCGTGGTCGTGGTGTATGAGGAAGCACAAATGAAATTGTGACGTTGCTGCCACGCCCATATCAACAGTGCTGCCCGCCCGGCTGCCATTCAAAAGTAATTTAGCGTTTCAAAAACATTTTTCTGCCTGACTTTTAAAAAGTTTTGCATAATGCGCCCGTCTCGCGTTTTACTGCACGAGTATGCGTGTGCGTGCGTGTGTGTGTGTGTGTGCGTGTGTGAGTGGGCGTGCCAACACTCACCTGCTTAATGTGGCCACGTTTCGTCGCCTGTCTGATTCGGCTGATTGTATTATAGCACCTACTAAACAGACTGAATGGCAAAGCCTCGCACCATTCTTTTTTTTTCTCTTCTTCTTCTTCTTCTTCTTTATTTTTTGTATATTGACTTTGACGTTTCACGGACGACTGTCAACAGGCCTGATCAAGGAAGTGTACGCGCACATAGTCTATTGTGTGTGTGTGTGTGTGTGTTGATGTGGGCACCCCCATTGCCTACGAAAATCGGTTTCAGTAATCTGTTCGCACTTCAAGTCTATAATCAAAATGTTTGCAAAAAATCTCAATGAGCATTGAGCGCTTCCCGTTTAGAATACCTCTTGAACATGGATATGAGAGCAGCGGGTATATTGGCTGTGCATTTATGTGGGAAGTGACTTAAGCTCAGATTAGTTTGATTTAAGATCAATTTGATTATTCATAATATTATTTTATTCCA